TTGTACAGCGGCATTCTTGGAAGGCGCATTGGTCATCTTGTACAGCGGTTTTAAGGGGAGTTTTAATCAAGATTTGTTTGTTTTGGTCGAATAAGATTCTGCCATTTTTTCTCGGTATTTCTGGAAGATTGCGCGCATTTCTTCTACCATTTCGTTTTCCAGTTCTTTGTATTCAATCACTTCGCTGTCCTTGATATCTTCCATGGCCATTCCATCTTCAAGGTCGTAGGTATCTGTTATAAAAATATCCAGCCACAATATATGCAAAATATGACGTAAACAGTGTGTAGACGCGCGATTTTGCTGGTGCGCTATCAGTGGAAAAAACCCGGAAACATTCACGACGTTTCGTTCTAATCAACAATCACAGCGCGACAAGTTCAAAACCATCTAATCTCCTCACGGTTCTACACGAAAGCTAAAAGGGATTGACATGAAGTATTTGTTTGTAACTTACGCTTTTTTTGCAAACATCTGCTGGGCTTGAAGTAAGCAAACTCGGCCACCAAACCAATGAGGAAGATAACGATAACCAGGGTGACACAAGAATACAGCGACGGATAGAATAAATCACCCGTGGGATCGAAAATGCTCTGAGAGTTGCGTATGGCCACTTTATTATTCTCTATCTGTCAATCAAATAGTCACGTGCTCAGTTAAATTTATTGGCCGATCTATGTAAGTATGGTATATATCCTGTTGCATCTTGGCATAAACCCAATTTATTATGGTATATATCTTGTGTATATCCATCTTTAGATACAGCTTAAAATATAATAATGCATCATGAGATACCTTGAGTGTCCTGTGTAGCTCGTTTTTAATGTAGTTGTAAACTATAAATCGATCTTGATGCAGTAGTTTACGGAAGCACTTGTCTATCGCCGTATGGTTCACCACAACACCGTACTGCATTTTGTTTTGGGTTATTACTTGATCGACCTTAAAAATGTTTTGAGGAAAGAGTTCTTCATAGAAGTTTATGAAGTACTTGTCCAAAAAGGCGCCTGGAAACAACAAATAGATACATTAATACCATAAATATATCATCTATACTTTTCTGGATTATTCTTACCACTTATCTGTTTATCGTCCAAAGCAGTTCTTATCTCCTCAATACTCGAATAAACTGTACACGTAAAGAGAGAAAAAGGTAAATTATCTAGAACCAACGACGGTGTTTACTTTATTCCCTCTCTTCATCAAAGCTAACCTTAATCCCGAGGACGTTTAGCTTTGAAGTCCGCGCACTAACCAACCAAGCTACGCCTGCTCCACTGGGGGGGGGATCTAATTAGTTCATAAGGGATTCCTGTGGATTTGGCGGGAAAATGGTAAATTGTCGCCCGTCCCCTATAATCGAGACCTCGCTAAGCCCCTGGCTGTTCCTAAAGTAATGTACGCTGTCTTTCAACCCCCATTCCTAGTATTTTTTTTCGTCTACCGTATTTCCTCTAATGAGCCTGTCTTCTAATAAGCACCCACTCCAAAAGCACTGAAAAAGAATAAGCCCCCAGTGGATCGACTTAACAGGAAAAAACTGTACCTGTAGCTTTCAATGTTTTTGTTTATAAACGTAGTTTTGAAGGAAACAAGATAAATTGTCATTTTTACCTGTGATATCAGCCTGTTGTTGCATTGCCATAGACAGTTCGATAGATCGTTGTAGAACACCAATCTATAATCAGTCATGAGTGGTTGTTAGGGAAGATACGCTTTGTATTGGGAAGAAGGCTGGAGCTCTAGAGGGGAGGGTTTTTAGTAAAAAGTTTTGTGGGGAGTCAAACCTAGTTCCTTGTTGACTAAACAAGGAGGTGATGAATTTCGTACCGAGTGGAAGAAAAATTTACTGAGAATCTCTCAGCCCCAATCAAAAAAGTACCATTCCTTAGATGACCTAGACATTTTTAATGATATGCTAATATATTCAGTACTATATGGGTGTTGAGTGTAAACGTGTGGATGAGTTGTGTAGTCTTCAGAAAGACTGTTGGTGATAGTTTTGGATGTTGTAGTCATAAGAGTGTGTCACGATAATGTACTGTTTACTATAACGATCACACTAGACTACCATGCACCATTCAAATCCCTTTCCTGTTGTGCTGTTTGGAATTGGAAAGGATATTTCATTTCATCACCCGTCTTTTAATTATAAGTTCCATTGACGTCACTTATTTGATGGTCGTGCGGTCATGCGTAATTAATGTTCAACTAGTCGACCTGCACAGGCCTTTTCGGAGTTCGATGAACATGATGCATTGTGGTATAGCTTGGGGACAAACACCAATATATATTGGATGATGAATATGTTTGTACCCAAGATAGACCACAATGCACCATGTTCGCAATCTGGGAAAGGGACTTAGGGAGGAGAGTTTCGATGTTGTACCTTGGAACCAGTGACACTCCTCTTGGTATCTAAGCTGATAGTGGTGAGCGAGGTTGTGAGTGTTGCAGTAAAGATTGATACAATACATATACCAAGGAGAATCCACATGACGGCAAACACACGACCCAAGAAGGAACGCGGTGCCCGATCACCGTACCTTTGAAACAACAAGTGAATAAGAAGAAAACTTTAACGCTGTACTTGTGACATTTCGGACGTTAGGGAAACAATACTCGAATGAAATGGACGGTTTGTAATAAAAATATGATGTAGCATTGATTTATTTAGCGCACTTTTTATAAGCATGTATATACTCAAAGGCGCTTAAGATCATGGTTAATGAGAGTATAGACACTGAGGGTGGTCACTGCCAGGGTTTTTTTACGTCCTCAATGATTCTTTTACATCCTAGTATTGGTTAGTAATGATGAAGTGTGGAGGGTAGTCATTTTAAGTGTTAACGTTTGTAGATTTAATTATAAGGCAGTGATCATGACAGGGATAAAAAGGTAGAAAGAAACCGTTGATGGTCTTACCCAACTGTTGTCATGGAGACGAATGCCCACCAGAATCCTTCCCATGCTCCTCCGATGAAAGTGCGTGGAAACTCCTCGGGATTGGCTCTAATCTCCTGGAGGCGCAAAACATAGTATATAATAACATTAGAGAAAACCCGAAAAGGAGGGGGGAAGGAGTAACGTGATAAATAATCTATCGGGGATAACCGTGCACCCCTGGGGGTGGGGTAACACGGGAATAACATTATCTGCTTATTATACCAGTTACATACCGCCAACCATAGAACGATACCAGCCAAGATAGACAACAACAATGTAAGTATAAGAACAGGCCATGCTTCAAATACAGACATCAATAGTTTCTTAGGAAAACTTTCTCGCTTGTCTTTGAGTACCACGAATGAAATACTCGAAGGAGGAATTAAACCAATCATGTTAGCAGGATTTTCCAGAGGATCCTGGGAATCCACGATGACCGGGTAGACAATATGTGCGTTGGATACTTCGAAGAGGAGCCTGCTGGGGTTACTGATGGGTTCGTAATGATGTAAGTGCCAGCAAGAAGGGGTGTGGTTACCACAACATTTACTTAACATCAGGTCAAGCACTTCTAAATCACGTGACAAACATATATATCAAGTTAATACTACATCTAGATCGTCACTAGTTTTTATATTCTATTTTATTTAACTCAGTGAAAAGATTGCTGACTACCTCGTGTTGCAAAGGATTGTGGGGGTTTGTGACCGTATCCGCCCAAATTCAATCCAATGCACTACGAAATTTGTTACCAGTCTTCGTCTCAGCCTTGAAAAGCCAAATAATTAATAATAATCATAATTAATAGACAAGGTTTCATAACGATAGAGCTACAAGCCTTTCTTGTTAAAGAAAACTATAACGAAAACCCTGGAAGATTTATCCAAGATGGCGTATATGACGTCACGTACGTAAATGAAGCTTGTCCTATTTTCTACAGCTACAAAGTTCTCAGTCAAAGAACTCGTTGATTTACTGTAGAATAACAGCAACTGAAAGATCGTGTTTTGGTGGACGGCCAGTCGACAGGTTCATTTATTTTTTATTTTCGCGGGAACACTTTTTGATTGACGTCCACCAAAGTACTTGGGTTTTACGTGGGTTTCAAAAACTTCTTACGAGAAGGTTCTATAAAACACAATGCTACTGCTATAAACTATCTTTTGTGTGTTGCGTTCTACGGGGTAACGAAGACCARATTTGCCTGACCCTACCGCCATGTAAACAGGGCCTAAGTACTGCTCATTTATCGAGATGTCTATTCAAGTTTTATAGTTGAATATTATTATATGTATTATATGTAATCTGCATTGAAGTCACTAATAAACAAATAAATATTATTCGACTAATAACATCAATAATGCACTTGGTTATAATAACACTGTTTGCTTGTAACTATTAAGCCTGTGTCTTATAAGATTATGTCCCATTCGGCCTGTGTAGACACATACATACAAGCAGTATGATAACTGTCAGATGACTGTCAGATACAATAGGCTAGGCACTGTAGTTTTCTCACGTACGTACCTGGTAAAATGCCTATGGTTTTGTTTTTCTGGCGATAGACGTAGGGTTTTCTTTCAAACCAGGATATCTTTACACAGGCTGGACATTGTACCTGTCCTTGACAACTTGAATCAGAGATATTGACTTCCAAATCATGACAAATTGAAGCATTCGTGAGTCCAAGAGAACAGAACTTCACAGTCATTAAGCTCAACAACACTGTGGCCAGAAATGGACTTCTACGAGCTTTCATGACTTGGCTCTGAACGTTTTCTCGTTTAAAAATGTCGGGTTTTTAAAGATAAGATAAGCTGCTCTTTCATACACTCGGTGTGTGGAGGGCGGAAGAGGAAAGAGAAAGTCAGAAGTAGAGACTGTGACTATAAACTGAAGCACGTTGGATTATTCTAGCTTACTGGGTCAACTGAGGTCATTCTGTTTTTATGCAAATGATGAATGATTTACACGCCATTACGCACGGTGTAACATCAGTTTACATAACATATGTCATGCATCACAGTAAATAGATAGTCATGAAAATTGTGTTTGTATTCACCATCTTCCATACATCGGTTCACTGGTCAAATACAAAGCATTTAGTCGAGGATGCAAGGTTCAAATTTGAATAATCCTTTGAAAGTACCTTGGCGGCTCGCTTGAGCGCTTTGTGTTTGACCAGTGAACCAATGTATGGAAAATAGTGAATCGAGGATACATGCTTATCGAAATAAAACTTGACAAGATTTGAAGAATTAAAAAGAACGAACAACTATTTAATATCTTTTATAAATTATCTTTGTTATCATTACGAATTCTTTGAGTTTTTTTGTTTTGTTTTGTTTGTTTTGTTTTTTGTTTGTTTGTTTTTTTGTTTTTGTTTTTTGTTTTGTTTTGTTTTGTTAATTAACAATAAGTAAATAAAAATAAAAATCTTATTTTATTCCAATTAAATTGCTTCCAAGCCATGATCCATCTCTAAGGACACAGGTAGCCCAGCATTTTACCAGCCACTTCATCAAACAGGTAGATTTTCCTATCAACATCACTATTTACTACCACAGGCATACCACTTCCCTAGAGACGAAGTAAATTATTTTGTATCAATGATTGTAACCAGATATAACAATACCCTTTTCTTACTCGTTATCAAAGTGTTCTTAAAGGTTGCTATAGACCTCTTTACCTTGGGCGTAATGTTCTACCATCTCAGACCACGTGTCATTCTCTTGAGAATAAGATTATTTGTTCGAGTCGTATTTTATACCTTATACACCAAATCCACTTGGGCGTAATGTTTTACCATCTCAGACCACGTGTCATTCTCT